GAAATTCTCCTGGGAAAATATAACATGCATTTGAAACTTCTACAATATTCTCTCTGCATATCACTACATATATAGAAACGTTTCGAAAAAACATAATGGATAAGAATTTGAAACATAATACACAATAGCAGTTAACAATTCTTTTGCCTAAAATCACATCAATTAATGCACCAACTCCTTCTTTTGAAATTAGAAATCAGCTCTGCAGACAACCACAGCAGTAATAACAGCAAAGGATCGTGTATATCTTCCTTTCAAGGCTTCGCTGTTATGGCCAATATTCGAGAGTATTATAGGGCGTATTTCAATTTAGCCGACTTCATTTAGACTAATGCCGATTACCTCCGCAAGTTTAACGTTTAACTTTACTCGCGTTCATGGTAATTGTTTGCTACATCCAGAAAAACGTGAAGTCTAGTCAAGAAAAAACTAATAAAACAAGAATAGAATTCTAACGGCTCTAAAATCGAATGTTTGATACCCACGTCCTTTCCCAACTTGATCTGCAATCGATAACAAAGATTGTATACGGTAAGCTTCAGTTTTTATGCACGTATATGCGATTAGGTAGGGTTCCAAAGACAGACTATATGCAGACGGATGAACGAGCTTAGTGTGACATAGAATTTCATGGTAATAAAAGAATCTTCTTTAAATGTTATAAATGAGAGGATGAAACTAGTACTAGTAGATTTTCAATCATGTAGATACGAAATTTATATTTGCCTTCATGCAAATATAATTTACAATAGTTAGCTCCATAACTGCGAAACTCCTTTAATTTAATAGAATAAAAACAAAAGTAGTATATATTTGAAATAATTTTTACAAAACTCAAGGCAAATTTCTCCTACCGTTGCATTGTTTTCAATGGAGTTCGCCCTTCTACCCATTGGGTTGGTTTCGCCAAATCGTGCCACATATTTGTTACTTATAAAAATGTCTGTTATAAACGTATATACAATAAAAAAAATTTGGCTTATTAATACAATTGTTTAGCCATGAATAGCAGAATAGAGAGTGCTGTGGAGAAACTAGAAAAGCAAATTTAGTTTCAAATATCAAGCTTTTCGTTTTTTCTTAGAACACGATTAAAAATTACTAAGCGCCATTTTCAAAGAAACAAAAAAGAGAAACCAGTCTGGTAGATAGGTTTAATTATCAGTCAACAGCAAAACTATTTTATCACATTTATTTACGCTCTCATCCATTGATACTTAAGTTTCTATGTTATTGAAGTTATTTATTAACGGTTAGAAAATATGTTTTGGTTAAGTTTCAGCTAAAATAAAGCATTTTGTTAGATCTAATGAATACGCTGCCGTGTACATTTACAAAATTATAACTTAGAAATTTAGTTGTTCTAAACATCAGAATTTCGATTCAAGTGTAGAAAATAGCATCGTTTAAGCAACAACACTTCTACAAAACCAAGTGAAGCGACACAATTCAACCTTAATACTTAAAACTTTGGTGCATGGTCGTAGTTATAAAAGGTGGTTGGTTGATAAAGACGTAACACTTACACAATGGGGCCCAGCATATCCCAGGCCACATCCACTGCCTATCTCTCTCCTCGCTTGTTTCTGGCCATCATCGTGCGGCACGTATGGCGAATATCCCCTGTTTTGTTTTTAAAATTCGCACGCGACCAGTTCGTTTACAATTTCTTACACGAAAATGAAACGGTATCCTTTTCAGGTACCCTTTTTCAATAAATGTTAATCCTCCTTTTGTTTTTCTTTTCGTATGTTAGTTGTAGTCCCGAATTCTGCGTTGAAGGCCTTAAATTTTGCCTAGCGATCAGAACAATTCCAAATAAGTTTTGCTATGGATGGTGATTTTCCATAAAAAACTTTTGGGTCCTCTCCTTCCTTCTTCTTCTTTTAACTGCACTGCACCCCAATGATTGCAATTTTCCCCAAAATGCTTACTTTCTCCCAACTCTACCGAAGCGATTGTCTCTTCAGAGGTATATCATAACGGCTATATCGTTGGATGAGAACCTTCGTGGCCTGTTGAAATGCAGTACGATGTGTCATACAAAATATTTTCTGAGCTTTACACAAATTTGAAGACCCCGCAACAATTTCGCACAAAGCTAGGTTCTCAATAAATAGTACAGATGAAGCCTTACATGGTCTTATTGGCGCTCGCGTTGAAAAATGAAACTAAGCGCTTGTTGTCAAATTTGATTTCAAATTCGTCAATTTGAAATTAGACCCTTACATTCCTACGTATGCGTAATCGATAATTTCATCTTACGGCCTTAAGATTATTTTTTTAAACTTTTATTTTTGCTTACTACAACCTGCAAATGAATCGAACACACTCGACGCATACATATATAGAGGGGCTCAGGCGTATAAACAAAAATTCATCCATACATTAATATTTTTCTAAGCGCACTTCTTGCGCATTATTAAGCTAAGGAGATTTGTAGAATATTTTTTAAAAAAAAGTAACTATTGCCAGAGTGTAGGGCATAAAGAAATGACAAATATTTTTGAAATTATACAATAATATAACGAAGTTTTATTCATAAATAATATATTGGACAGTTGGTCATTCTAAATAATCAACGAAATTTTTTTGTGAACTGCGAGAATGACACTGTGCGAGAGTAGGGAACATTGCGTAAGCAAGGAAGAGCGAGGTTGTATTTATTACATATGACGTAAACAGCGAGTTCAAACGTATTTGACTTAGAAGAGCAATTTTATAAATAATGAAAAATAGGTTTTTCAGTTCTCTCTATTTACAAATTTTCTGCTAGATTTCGTGAAAAAAACTAAAATCGAAAAAATTTAACCGATTACAATCCTAACAAAGTATATAACAAAGAAACACGAAAAAGAAAACATTTTAAACTCAAGAAGTTGTAAATTACATATATATGTATATAAAAAGAGGGCGTCATAATAAATGCGATGCACACTTATGTAAAAGAACGTAAACCGATATGGACGTCTTTGCGTAAATGATGCTATAGAACACAGTAAAACAACGTACATGTAAAAAAAGACAGTTTATAGATACATGTAGTCTGAAAACACACAAAAATAACAGCACAGTACAATAGATCAGCACAGCCGTCATTGACATATTGCCACACACAGCTTACTCATACTTGGCCTGCTCATTGTTAAATACAACAATAACCATATGAACGTGTGTGTGTGCGTGGAGGAGTGTTTCAAAAAATTTGTACGCAGACAA